TTTTTTTTAAATGAGTGCCAGGAGCTGGGGCAGCCATTGCTGGGCTGGGAGAAGGGTGGGGCATGGGCCTGACCCAACCGGCCTGATTCGCTGCTGCCAAATCTCCAAATCAGATTTGGCTGAATCAAATCAGGGCAGTGATTTGAATCAGCATCCCCCAAATCAGCCAAATCCGAATCCAAAGCAAATACTAGCCGCTTCGCACAGGCCAAGTCGTCTCTCCCTCAGGGCTGAGTCCCGTGCGTCACACACAATCCTGTCCCTGATTAGGGAGTCCTTTATGTCTCCAAAGTTACATGAGGATGCCAGAGTTTTCAGTGCTGTGATACAGGCCTCTATTCCTTCCTCTTCCTCTTGGTTTCAGGTGAAAAACTGATAATCGCTCTACAGTCTCGTTTTTCCTGGGGTCACAGGAGGCATCAAACGCTTCTATTAACTGCTCTAGTGGGTCCAGCTTCCCTGGCATCAGCATCATACTTACTTCATGGCCTTTTTCCCCCCAGCTAGATAGTAAAACAGCTTTACCTTCATTTGCTCTTCCTTATTAGCCATGGTTAACTCTGCATACAAACTGAATGCTTGCTTCCATTGTGTCCATGGCTGTGCCAGGCTCTTTGTGTTGAAATCCAGCTGTCCTGGGGGCTTCAGTCCCTCCATGCTTCTCACAATCTGTCTGAATCACTGCTGGGGCCCAAGTCTCTCTCTTCTCTTGGGCTTCCTCACAGGCTTTCTGCCGCCACCATGCTTCATGTGATGGAGTAATGGGTAATGGAGGAACAGCTCCCTACTTAATATCAACAGTGTCTTTATTATAGCAGTTTCTTACAGAGCCGCTACAGGGCCTGCTGTTCTGTCCCAGCCTCCCTACCTCTTCCTCCTTCAGGCTCCTCCTTTCTGCTGCTGCTGGTTTTGCCTCTGAGATCCATACATGTTGTTACACCTTGCAAAAAAAACCAGTGCAGTTCACAGTTTTAGTTAAGTGGGCCAGTGAACAGCCAGCAGATAGTCAGCAACTCTGCAGGTATCCATTCAAACTAGCAAGTCAAAGGGCCTGCAGCCTCTGGGTAATTGAGGAACAGCTCCCTTGAACCATCTGGGTCCCACGGTTTGGGTTGTTCAAATACTTACTCTCTCCGGCGTCAACACGAACCACAGTTGAAATCAATGTAAAATCAACTGAACACGTTAGAGAATAACTAAAGCACAATCACCTTTTGCACTTGAAAATAATTGGGTTGTGCTAGGTGGCTGGGGTAGAAAGCATAATCTATGCCAGTTTAATGCGTTTGCTTATTTTCTCTGTATAAGAAGTTGCCGTCCATTCCTATTTCCATCAAAGGGGTCCTCCTATTCAGTGACAGGGTTGCAGAATCCTTCTTTGAGTTACAAGGCTAGAATGAATTTATTTTTGAAGTGCAATTACGTCGAGCATTTTAGTTACGTGCTCAAAAAACAAGGCTTCTCAGAGCTAACTGAATCTCCCAAATCCAAGCAAAAGTTTAGGGGAGCTTCAGTCTCATTCAGGTAAGCTCTGTTCTACCCCACTGAAGCCACATAAATTTGGGGCTGAGGAAAGAGGATCTGCAGAGAGCCGAGTTATTCGTGTCATTGTGGGAATCACCTGGTCTGCACAAGACAAGACAATCACTGTTTTCCCTCATGGTCTTAACATTTATGAAGAGATCAAGCAATACACATACTGAAGAAAACCCCAGCTTATTAAGCAAACATTATAAACCGCCTACTTAGAAGAAAAACAGGGCTGGAAGCTCCCAGACTATGTTGTGGAAACACTGCGCTGCAATCCCTTAAGTACAGTTTATCTGTGCTCGTCAGTAAACCCCTTCTCCCTTCCACCGCTTCAAATCAGATCTACGATGATCAGGTACAATACAAGCAAAAGAAAACAAAAAAAATCTCTATTATATTTCACTTGTGTCAGCACTTTGGTCTCACCTGTCCTAGGCTAGACCCCACCAGTCTGCCACTTGCACAGCACTTACTGCAATTGCATTGAATTTTTGCTTTCATTGGTATAACTTCCCCTCCCAACTCTGCACCTCTCCAAAGGATTTGAGGCCAATGTGAGACACAGCAGCTCCAGAGACAGCACCTGATGTTTCAGGCTGAAGGAGCTATTGTTTAAACCAAGGGGCCACCTACCAGTAGTGAAGACAGCACAGAAATAGCTGGAGGAATTTTGCAGAAGCAGGATCTTGTAGTTGAGGCTCTGAGAGAGAGGAAAATTGGGTTTTCCTCTTGTTTCCTTCACGGATTCACTGTGTGACCATGAACAAGTTGATCAGTATCTCTCTACTTCACTCCTCCACCTGTGAAAGTGGGAGAACACCCTCTTCCTCTTGGTTGTCTTGTGTTTTTAGATAACAAGAGCAACCATTGATAATGCTTGATGATGAGCCTTAGGTCTCTGCTTCCATATTCCAAGGGAACGCAGCTCCCTTTTGCTTGCACTTTCTCTCTATCAACCATCAATGAGATTTGTGGCATGTAAGATCTTGGACTGCATGCTGACAGAAGAGCTGTAGCGTAGCGGTTCCCATATTCTTCAGGGTTACATGCAGGATCCAGTGTATGAGTTTGTAGCTGCAACTGGTGTTTCTTGGGCAGGGTAAAATCCCATCAAGAAAGCAGCCTACCTCTTGGCCCACACAGGTCTAGAAAGGGCTGGCAAAAGGAAAGCACACTTCCTTATGGTATTTTGGTTTATCTAAGAAGAGTTCACCCATCAATGCTTGCAATGCATCCTGAATCGAAAATGCGGAATTAGTTTGCTCCAAGGGAGAGAAGTCCAAGGCAACAAGTCTGAGATCTTACACTAAACCCCAAAAACTTCCCCAGAACCCAAATCCAGGGAGGGGTCCCTCCGGAGTGTTAGTTCAAGCCTCAGTCTAAATACTTGTCTTCATCACCATCATTCATATTATTGTAACACATATTCATTGTCCTAGGCAGTGCACACATGGTATGAGAGTCACAACCCAAGAGCCAGGCATCTAAATCCTCAGAGGATGGGTTGTTTCCTCACTTTATAGAGGGGGAGCTGAGAGACTGACCCATGAAACGACTTGCTCAAGGTCACATGCGAGCTTGTGGCAGAACTGGGAATTGAGGCCAGATTGCCCAGTCCTCATTCAGCAACCTCCTCCTTGATGATAGTGCAAGTTCAGATCTGCCTGATTCCCAGGCGAAAAAAGTCTGCTGCATTATTTAAGTGAAGACTTGTTTTCCCCTTTAAAATAGAAAAAGGACCAGGACCTTCTTCCTGAGCTTCAGGGATCTGTTAATTGGCTCCCCAGTAAAATTACAGAGAATCAGCTGCCTGACAATAATTGTAAATGACAGAGACTATCAGGTTTACCTTGTGATGTCCCTAGGGAGCTTGCAGTTAGTTTAGTCTGAACTCTGCGTCAGCTGTTCGGGTTCCTTTCTTCTCGGCATGCGGTGGCTGGACTCAAGCTGCAGTCTTTCAAACCTAATTAGTGTTAGGGGAAGAAGGAGGGGGGAAAAAAAAAAAAAAAGAAAGAAAACCTTCCTCCTCCTTTCCTCTACTGACTTTGTAATGTTTGCAGTGTAAGGACAGGGCCTGATTTATGGTGCAAGTTCATTTTGGGTTTTTATGTAGCATACCAATGTCTTCCGTTGTGCTCGCAAGAAACGCACAGCTTAGTGTGCCAGTCTTTGAACTGCATCGTTCTTTCTTCTTCTGCATAGTAAAGAAGCACTCATTTCCTTAGATCTATTAAAGTTTGCGTGTTTATAATAAAATAGGATATAGTTAATTCCACACATTGCTCAGCTGAGAGCTGGAAACCTTCCAAGCACAGAGCAGACTTTCTTCTAGCCATGGTAGGGGGTGTTGTCAATAGAGTTAGTCAACAATGCTTTCAAGCCTTGAAATTTCAGTAATTTTTCAATTGTAAGACATCCCTCTCTCATCCCCCTAAAAAAGAGAAGGCAAAATTCCCTCCAAACATTTAACTGTAGAGCTGCTTGCCAGGTTTAATTGTTAACATACAATTTAAAAAAAAAAAATCATGTTCTGAAGGTTTAGATTTTGAAATAAGTTGGGAATGTTTTGATTTAAAGTCCCCATCCCCTTCCCAATTTTTTCTCTGCAATTACTAGTGCATCAGTCCCTCTGGGTCCAATCCTGTATCACTGATATCAAAGAGAGTTTTACCACTGACTTACAGGTCCAGATCTTCACACCCATCTTACACAGTGGGGACAGACATTAGTACTTTCCTGGATTTCTTCTGTGTCCTTAGCTCTGGCTAGGGATGGAAACTCTCACCTGCCTTAGCTTTTCTGTGATACCACGAGTGCCCCGATAACTACAGGGAAGCATCTGTCCACTTGTCACTTGCAAGACAATAATATTGGTGAGATATTTTTAAAGGCACATGAGAAGCCAGGGGGACAGTGACAAAGGAGTTAGAGTGAGCTGTGTATGCCTAAGTCCCCCGAAGTCCCTTGAGAATCTCAGACTTTGTGCCTATGTAGCTGGCTTGTGTCAATATTTATATATTGCAAATTGCCTCTTACATCCATAAGAAATAGCTACCAGGAAGCATCATTCTGGAGTCCTAGTAACCAACACATTCTGCTTTATTTGTAGAGAAAGCTCATGCATTCACTTCCATGTCAGCCTTGGAGTAGTCCGTTGGGCTTGGCTGCTTGCTTGGGGGCAGACCCTCTGTCCAGTCAGACAGGCAACTGGTTGTTGAGATGTTGAAGGGGACAACACAAAAGAGCAGATCTGTAGGCAACATCTTGAAATTGTTCGGAGGCCGAGCAATCACACACCTGGAAAAACACCAGAAAATAAGAACCTAAATATTTTGTTGGGTCCCTTGTTTAAGGGACACACAAGATGGCAAAGGAACAGCAATTTTTTGCAAGGTTTAAGTGCACATGAGAAAATATTTTGAACAATTAGAGGGTGTATATTATAAGATACCATTTATAGGACCTGGGTTCACTAACCATTGGAACAGATCACATTTTTTTTCACTGCTTGGAGTCTTTAAATCTAAAGACTTAGTGTCTAAGAGTTTTGCTCCAGTTCAACCACAAGTTCTCAAGCTTAGTGCGAGAATCAGAAAGCGGAAAAGGTCAGGTGTGTTTATTTGTAAAAAAAAAATATGAAATGCATGGACACAGGCAACAGCACAGGCTCTTTTCTATCCCTTTTCTATCTTTTCTATCTTTTCTAAGGACCATGGTTCACATGAAAGACCCATTAAAAGAACTTACATCAGTTGTAACCACCACCAGAGTGAGGCACTTCAAACAATCCCTTTTCAGGAGCTATCCCAAGCAATAGCAAGGATGCTCATCATGATTTAACCTTGGGAAGGGGTCTGGGATATCAGTAAGTGTGGTCAGTGAGTCTTCAGGGAGGCATGTTGCTGGACTGGCAGGGGATGCTCACATTTGAGGTTAAAGTACAATTATAGTTGTAGGTCAAGACGAAGGGGTTATGACAGAGCCCTGTAGAGGTTCCACCCGTAACTTGGATGGGAGAAGCTTGCTGAACAGCTGCCTGCCATGGGCATGCTTTTACTCTTCCATTTGCAGGAGTGCTTCAAAATTTACTGTACCTCCTTGTCCGCAACTAAAAAGAATGCGCTGTGAATATTACTGATGTACATAAGTTTTATCTGAACTATACTCCCCTGTTCTTGTACGGATTAGGCTCTTCTATGAGACGGTAGAGGCCAAAGCAAAGGATTCCAAACAAGTCTAATGCTTTGCAGAAAACATCTCCAAAACAGCCCTCCTGCAATTACACAACAACAAAAAACCCAACCAAATGTAGAGGCAATAGGCTCCTTTGCAACCCACTAGTGAGATCGCTTAAGAAGTACTTTTGGACTGCCATGATTTAGTATTTGTCTGATGGTAACACATAGGTGTTCCACTTATGGACCAAGAACCCACCATTTTTGGCATTTTACAAGCTAAGGTCAAAGAGCTTGAGGAGCTAAGAGTCAAATTAATATGAAGTAAGGATACCTGACACTTGTAGCCATTTGCAGAAAACCGTTTCAGGCACAGATTCAGATCCAGTGTAAGGACTTTGCATTTTATACTGATCAGATCAGCTTACATCTCCACTAGTGTACATGTCAGTGATAGTGTTTCACAATCAGCAGCCAGTAAAAAGACAAAGCCAAAAAATTAGGCTGTTGTTCAGCAAAAGCACTAAAAGTTGATCAAGGGGTATGTACTCTGGGACTTGTAGGGAGCCAGAACTTCAATATGGGATTAAAAGAGCCAGCACCTCTGCTAGGGAACAAGTGGCTCTGGGGATATGTGGGCACCCTGCTGTATCTGTATTACGCTTCCAAAGTGTTTTATAAAAAGGGAAGGAGGTTTCAGTGCATACAAGACAATGTGGGACCAGTCACCACTGCTCAATTAAGGACTATGTATGGGCAAGGTCCCACAAATACCTGAATTTCATTCATTCCCATACTTCATCCGGCTTTATTGTTTGCTTCGGTGACTCCATAAGTTATTGATTTCTTTTTCACATGGGTGGAAATAAATGATGCTTTTTGCAGCGTATTGCCGCGTAATCCTCAAGCCAGCCTACAGCAGCATGCAATATCACTTCAGAGCAAGTGGTGTAACACAAGGGTCTGAAGCAGTAGGGCATCATGCCCTGTGATACCAGTGTGATCCAAGTCAAGGGTATTTTGCATTTTAGTGACATCTTGGGTTGTCACTGGGTAAGCTGGCCAGTTTGCCTATAGCCAAAGAGCTGACCCATTGTTGCCAGCTGATTACAGAAGCTGGCATTAGACTGACAAGGCAGAGAGGAGATATTGACTGGCTGCACTTAGTAATAATTTCCCTAGTCCATGTGAGCCCATGAGATCTCTTAGCTCATGAAACTTTCAGGTATAGGACCCATAACACAAAGATTAGGCTGATAACACTCATTGCTGACTGATCTTACCCACTGATGGAACAGTAACATGTGGCCTGGCTGTGCTCTCAACATGGGATAAGTCAAGTGGGACTCTGTTGACTTTAGGGGAATTACTCCTGGCTTACACCAATGTTTCATAGTTTCTAGGGTCGGAAGGGACCTGAGCAGATCATCTAGTCCGACCCCCTGCCATGGCAGGAAGAGCACTGGGGTCAAACGACCCCAGCAAGGTGGTCATCCAACCTCCTCTTAAAAACCCCCAAGGTGGGAGCCTGCACCACCTCACTTGGAAGCTGGTTCCAGACCCTAGCCGCCCTGACCGTGAAGTAGCGCCTCCTGATGTCCAACTTAAACCTTCCCTCCGCCAGCTTGTGACCATTGTTCTTGGTCACTCCTTGTGGCGCTCGGGGGAACAGGGACTCCCCCAGCGCCTGCTGATCCCCCCTAACCAGTTTATAACAGGCCACAAGATAGTTAGTGAGATGAGAACCCATCCTATAACACACAGCTCTACAAACACTGTGATATAACTCACCGGGGAAACTGCTGCAAGTCCCTTCCACAGTGGCAAAAGAGCCAGCTTGCACCTCACCCTAGGTGCGACATATGATATGCTGTTGTCACTGGCACTCAGTTCATTCTTCTCTGCAAGCTGCTCCTCCAGCTCTGGGCTTGTCCCACCTGTCACCAGGGTCTGGAGCAAAGCTAAGACATGGTGGTTACAGTAGGTCTGGAAAGAAAAGGGCATGCACAAGTAAGAAAATCTGCAGGTTAAGAGGTGCCTACAAAAGTCAATTCACTCAACCTGAAAAGGAACCATGGGGTCACATCTATGGCACTTACTGAAACTAGGGAGGGTCTCTGCAATGCATGCTTCAACTCTGTGACTACAACTGGTTACCCACAAAAACATTTCAATTGCAACACAGATATATTCTCAAATTTTGTTCTATATTTTCCTATGGAAGTACATCAGAAACGGACATTTCTCACAGATTTTATTTACACAAAGTAACTGTTTTTTTCATTTAAAAATTTCTGACAGCACGTTTTTGACCATCTCTAGCTTTGTCCATCCCAGCTCTAAGGGGTTCATGTAATAGGGTTTCTATTACTTTCCTCAGAAGACTTTGGGCATGTCTACACATGCTATTGATTCAAAGTAGCCTTACTGGGCAGTAAGCCCACAGAGGAGCACATCTATACATGCTCCCTCTTGGAAGCAGATTTGCTCCCAATGGGAGCAGCCCAGTACAGGGCTGCTCCTGCCCGGCTCTGCCCCTCCTGCAGCAGCCAGGGGGAGCTTCAGGCTCTACTCCTCCCCCTCCCCTCACCCCCATCAGGGGCTGGCAAGGGGCATGGAGTGGTCCTGATGGGCACAGGGCCAGAATAGCTCTGCCAGCTGAAGTGGCAACTGTCTCCTGGTCCTGTGCACATCTGGACACACAGCTGCCAGCAAGCCCTCTGCTGGACATGGGGTTTACTGGGAGCTGTCCAGGGTGTGAAGCAGCTGTGGGCAAGCCTTCTGCCAGCTGCGGGGCACAGGGCTTGCAGGCAACTGCCCTGCTTGGCATAGAGCTGACTGGTCTGGGGAGGACAGGAGATCTGGGAATCCAGCCCTGCCTGTCCCTTGGAGCAGCCAGCTCTGCGCTGCGTGGAGCTGGCTGCTCTGGGGAGTGAGCAGGGGCTGGGAATCTCCATGCTGGGTGGAGCTGGCTGCTCTAGGGAATGAGTTGGGGCTGGGAATCCAGCCTTCGCCTGTGCCCCCACAGCAACCAGCTCTGTGCAGCATGGAGCTGGATGCTCTGGGGGATAGACAAGGGCTGGATTTCCAGCCCCCACTCACTCCCCAGAGCAGCCAGCTCTGCACGGGGAGCAGGAACAGGGGGCAGAGAGCTCCCCACTCCTTGCCCTGATCAGTTCCCAGCTCCTGGAGGGAACCAGGAAGATGAGCAGCACCAGAACCATGGACAGAGAGCTCCAAGTCCCCTGGGGCTCCGTGTTCACTAGGCTGACCAGGAGCAAATTTGCTCCCAGCCAGCGTCTACACGTTTTACTGCGCAGTATCTAATGCACAGTCAGATTACTATCTGTATTTATAGGTAGTCGCTAAATGCACAGTAGACTAATTTACTGCACAGTAAATGCGAGCATGTGTAGATGGTGATGCTTTACTGTGCAGTAGACTAATCTATTGTGCAGTAAAATGCCTCATGTAGACACACCCTTTGTTTGTTACTAGATGCCATTTGGGACTTTGAAAATCTCCTCCTGTAAGTCTCTTCTCATCAGTCTAGTAGGCTGCACCACGTTTTCTCAAACTGTGCCAGTCTTTTTTGTCACTCAGTTTTATCCTTCCACTCTCATTATGCCTCCTTATACTATCCTAAACAACCTTGCTTCCTCTTTGCTGTCCAGCAACTGCAAATAAATCTAATTACTGTAGCACACTGTAAAGGCCTCAGTTGGACTCTGGGCAGACCAACAGTGAGTGACAGCTTCTGCCCCAAATTGCTTATTGCCTAAATGGACAGGCCAGACACATGGTGGGATGGGAAACAGGCATTAAAACATGGAGGACCTTGCCCTGGGTCATGCAGCAGGCCAGTGGCAAAGAGTGGATGATAGCAAGTGCCTTAGTATGGTAGCTATGTTTTTTTAAGCTCTGCAGTGTTTTAGACTCGAGCCATTTCCTTTGAAAGGAGACCCACGAAGCTGGAATTGCCCCAAAGCTCTTAAAATATCTCCCAAGACTGGCGTTATACTGCATTCAGTGAGTCTGTAGTCCAATCTGTGCAAGATAGAGGAGGCCTGATTCTACCCTGTCCTGCACTTCTGTTATTTGACAAGTGGTGAGGGCATGGAAAAGGCTTACAAATGAGAATGGTAGCATTGGACACCTATTCTGCACAACTGTCAGGTGGTACAAGCAATTTAAGCAAGGAGCTGGAGTTTGCTACAGGAACTATTAAGCACACCCTAAAACATTAAAAAGACAAAGGTAGAAGAAAAGCAATTGAAACTTTTGCAACCCCCAGGAAAAAAAATGTTTGTCGTTTAAGTTCAAATTTGTTGCAAAGACATTAAGATTTTTCTTATTTTTATCCCAGCTTGTTCCTTCTATTCATACTCTCAATGCTTCTGCTGACTTATTTCCATTCTTCCTTTAAAGCTCATTTTCCATAGAGAACCACCTCGTGGAATCTGTCACCTGCATTCTCACGAGGAAAGAAACTAAACAAGCTGTAGAGAAGGAATGGTGTTACTAAATCCAAGCTAAACTTAAATCTGCTTAAGAACATATGACCATGTTGTCGGGCAAAAGGGTATAATGCTGTTAGAGTAATTCTCAGCCTTTTAAAGCAAGGCGCTATAGTCCGGTGTTATCCAGAAGTGATACTGCTCCAGGGGAATCTGCACTTTACATATTTAACTGAAGCATGCTGAGCTCTTTAACATATCATTGCTGTACTTTTTGACATCAAAAGGATTGTATTTCCATACTTGGGTGAATTAATAGGATTTGCGTGTCACCCTCATTCTGTACTTTCGTTGCCGAGTTATACTGCAGAAGTTTGAAAGAGAAAAAACAACTAGAAATGTCTAAGAGTGTGTGTGTGTGTATGCATGTGTAGGCAAGATTTCAATGCATATTAAATAGGTCTCCAAGCTAACTTTAAAGGAGCCAGGTTCTTACAATGTACAGGAGAAACATTACCAGCTTTGCTATGTGTTATTCAGTTACTGCTTGAAGAATAGAGATTCCCCTGGACACTGCCGCACACACACCGGATCAGTCTGTGAATCCCCATACTTCTACGGCTGTGCCAGTAAAGCCCACTGACTTCATGTCCAGAGCTGTGTCTTTGGAAAACTCAACTGGAAGCATGGAGCACTTGAAAATCTGGCCCGTTTGTGACTTGCTCATGACCAAGCCAAAAATGCAAGGCAGGACCTAAATTCAGTCCCAGGCTCTATTTCAAGACCACAGGACTGTTCTTTTCCTTCTTTTTGCATCGTCTCTTTTCTGCCTAGAGAAACATTGAGAATCAGACTAGAATAAGAGCTGATTCTGCTTATGACTTCCAAGGAAGCTATATTGTATTTTCCAGAACATACAGCAACTGCTTTTGCACCACACCAGCATCTCTATCACCATCTTTTTCTAGTTACAGGAAAACACTGGCTCTGAGGTAACCTCAGAAAACACAGGGATATTCAGTAGATCCTAATAATGGTCAGAAAGCTGAAATGATATTTTATGGCTGAACTCCTTCTTCTTTTCTTTATTCTCCTTCACTAGTCTTATTTTACCAGTCTCCCTCCAGACAGTGCAGCTGCTAAACAATATCTCGTCTCTTTTCCTCCTTCCCCATACTTACGGACTAGCTAACATCTAACCAAAAGTGCTCTAAAAGCTGAGCTGAGAGTTCATCATTCCTCGACAGACCTGGGATCTTAAGTCTGAGTGAAATTTTATCCTTTAAGACAAGTCATGCTACATCTCAAGTTACTTTTACAGTTGACACTAGCAGTCATTAATTACAGTCAGGCTGATTGACATATCAGTGACTAGCAGCAATATAACACTTTCCCTAACACTGAAGCCTTCTCAAGAAAGCGTAACTGGACTTGACACTCTTATTTCGGACTGCTTATCCCTTTGAGAGATTTGTTTTGTATTTATTCAATTCCTGTAAAAAACTGCCACCCAAGCAGTATCCCCTTACACCTGAATCCAGAGTAAATCACATGGAACTTGACTGCAGCATGGATGGTGGTGGGGGAGGAGGAAAGGGGCACAGCCCAGTTAAGAAAGAAGGGCAGCCAGTTTGGGAGTTGCAAGCTTATATGAACTGAGCTGCTGACTTCCTGCCAAAATGCTGGCTCAACTGCCCTATGCTTTCCATCACTGGTGTCACTCACTCCTGACAGCAACCTGAAGCTGTGGTGGGGGGGAAATGCCATTATTTTGTCTCTGCTTTCCTTGCATTTTCAATGCAATGTGCCAGGTTAAATCCACCCTTAATAGCTCAGATGATTTACAGGGACATCATCTATAATTTATGTCAGTTAAAGACTTGTTCATTTGAGAGGTTCCTAATCTGATGTGGCCCGCAAACTTTTGGACCACCTAGGGTCTGTCATCATGGCAAATCGTATAGTATTGGCTGCATATCTTATAGAAAACACACCGTCAGCTTGAAATAAATTCCTCTGAAGTCAGTGGAATGACTCCTATTGAGTTCAATAGGTTTCACATCACACTTTAGGTGAATTTTAGTATTATTGCTGGACTAACTGCCTGGAGAATGAGTTTTTCTGTTTACGCCCCTGCCATCAGCTATATCAGGGGGGTGGTAGTAGAAATTTCTCTTATACCACATCTTACCACTGCATCTCGAACCATCCTTGGAGGAGCCCCCAGCTACACGAAGGAGCCAGACGTTTGACTCTCTACAGTCTGTTTGGTCTTTGGCATCATTAACGAACCTCCAACAAGGGGGCCAAACTGGTGTCATATGTAATGGTGGTTGGAGTGCATATAATTTTCTCACATGGATAGATTAATTCTGACTGCATCATGCTACAAAAACCAGATCTCACTGATTATAAATATCTTTTACAGCATGCAAACATTCTTAGGGGGAAAACAAAAACGACATCTTATAAAGTAACTCCAGATGTTCTATCTATATAACACACATCGTGACAGAGAAGTGAGGGTGCGTGTAACTTTGTGTGCTGCATAAGATATATCTGAGAAATGACGACTCTCTATATTCCCTCCAGCCCGTGGAGCTCACTATCACAAGACGTTGCTTAGGTCAAGAGTTCAGTGAGTTGCAAAAAAGGGTAGCTGCTTAGAGAGATGGCACTCAAGGGATAAGCCAGTCTCTAAATTAGCCCACCAACCACTTTTTCCGTGGTTTCTTGCTCTGTGGTGTGGTGCAGCTCATGATGGCTCCTGGTAGAAAAAACATGCTAGACTGGCATTGTCTTTGGCCCTTGATGGTTGCAGTCCCTCTACAGAGGGTATGATATAGGAGGTAGGCGAGGTATCTACTTACAGTGGACAGAAGAGAATCCAAAAAACTATCTGAGAAGATAGCTCCACTGGAAAAAGGGGTGGAGAGATGCAGCTCCTGCTCTGGGATCTGAGACCCGCTGCTTCCAGCACTCTGATCAATAAAGTGGGCATTTGACGTGGATTCTGCAGGACAAAATGGCAGGCATGTGAGGCCAATGAAGTACTCCATCTTGTCCACCCTCACCAGCCAACAGAGTTGCAGGAGAAATCCTCATAGAAGGCAGGGTAGATGTGCACCTTACAGACTAACTGAAGTCGATATCCACATAGTTACAAATGACATTGCTTTAACTTTCTTTTGTGTTCAGTGAATTGTCTCCATGCATCCAAGCAGAGGGCACCTGCTGTGCCACTGAATGTACTAGGTATGTCCTAGTATTGCTGTGTTGCTAGGGAGGATGTTGATGAATGACAGCAACACAGCTGGAGAGGCACAGAACGAGCAAAGGAATTAAGACTAAGAACCCATTTTTTCTGTTAAAAAAGCACATGTAACCCTTCTTTGATTAATGATTAATTTATTTCATGTCCCCCAGGGCTAAGAAACATTTGAACAGATAATCTGTAAAGCAGGTGACTAAAGCTGTCCAGGTCTGTGTTACTATTAATGGGTCCAGGTGCTCCATCCAGAAGTGGATTCTGTATGAAGACATTTCCCAAGCTAAGGTCTTGGCTCAATCAGATTCATAGCTGGTAGAAATCAACATTTCTCTATTACATGTCTCTTAAGAGTCTGCATATAAAAACCATGGGCTTCCAGGAATGGGCTGAAATAAGGCAACAGATTTGGGGTTTTTTTTCCCACATTCTTCCTCTCTCCCTGGGTGAAGAGGGGTAGGCAGCATCAGGTTATTTAGCTATTTCTCTCCATGGACTGAGGAATTTCTAGCAGTCCTTATTCCAGAGGCACATCCATTCCTAATATGTCTGTCAACTACAGCAGAGCAAATCACGCACTGTGAAATGCGCTGGAAATACCAGATGGACTCGTCAGCAGTAAATGCAATGGCCTTTAGCTCAGCCTGCAGTGAGGTGGCTGGATTTAGCTGTTCCCTTTCCTGGCTGCCACCTCCTCATCTCCCCATCACTCAGCAGTCTCTTGGGGGCCTAAAGGCAATGGCACAATTCTCCATACACTGGAAGAGCTGCTTCCCTCCCAGTAGCTGTACCAACATCCAGCCCCTTTATGGATGCCGGGTGTCTGTATTTGTTCCATTAAACCTGTGTATCTGTCTATCATGCCTCATTACTTCAAAATGTACCAGGAGATGGCCCCTCAGGGCCCACGCAGCTTTGTGCTTCACTGACATATCATTCATTATGAGCACCCAGTATCTATGGCGTAGCTATGGCAGAGGTCAGCCATGCTTGGTGGCACCAATTCAGGCGAGCTATCATATTGCTGGTGAAAATCTCGAGGAAATGGCTTGGCTGCTTCTGATACACATGACTGGAGCCCTTGTAGGGCTCTTTTCATTATGGAGATTAGCTCCAGCGATACCTTGCTGTCTCTATGGGGGACTGGGATCCTCAGGGACTTCCTCTCACAAGAGGCAACTGAAGAACTGCAAGGAACTCTTTAGTATTCACAGATATATTGAGGAAGCTCTTAGGGGCTAAACTGTTTGGAGTCCCATTATCCGAGGTACCATACAGACATATAATAAATGTCATCCCTTGCCCCACTACTAAATAATTGGTTCAAGAAAAGACAATGAATAAAGTCCTGATCAGAAATGAGCCATAGAGGGACCTGCTCCAGCAAACCATTTATTCATGACCCAACTTCAAGCACATGAGGATTTCCCTAATTGGCCTGGGACTAAATCATATGATTAAATATAAAAGTTTTGTTAAAACAGGGTCTGTGCAAAGGACTGCTAACAAGCTTTAGCTGATCAAAAGCAGGTCTCAATGGGTTTTGTGCTTCTAGGTCTTAAAATCTTACGGGCATCTCCTTTTCTATCCTATTGCCACATCTAGGAACAGATTCCCATCCTGTCTGAAGCTGTGGCAGGGGCAGGGAAACATGTGCCAAGAGATGGGACATGCATCATTATTGTGTTGAAGATTTGATACAACTAAAATCTGAAGCCACGCCAACAACTTGCAGGTGTTTTCCTCTGAACGGACACACCAGAACTATGGGGAAGGATGCCCTTGGTCCAGTGCTTGTCTCAGGAAGTTAGCTTGACTGTACATCCTTGCCTCAGCAAGGCTGGGCCACAGCAGCTGGATCAAAAATCCCTGAGATGCTGGGAGTCAAGAAAAATAAAAGCACAAGCCCTAGCACAAGAGAATATCAGAGCATGATTTTGGAAAATTCAGGAGTCAGAGTGTCTCCTTGGTTGAAGGGCTGGCACAGCAGCTATGGTTATTTTCTTCTCATTTATTATTTACACTGTAATTGGCCTTCAGCACCCCAGAGCAGGATGGGGTGTTGTACACGCACAGAACAAAGGGATGGTCACAGAGGCTGGAAGCTCTGGGAATTGTCATGCCATAAATTTAATCTGTGGAACCACTTCCAAGTTATTGGTACCCAGAGAAATCAGGTGACAGCGATGTGGCATTTTAACACTCAAACCCATTCTCTTCATTTAAACCCTGTGCTCCCCAACAACGACCATTTAGCTTAGAGAGAATTTTGTCTGCACTATGGGTGTTTATACACTTGGTCCAGGTGTGTGTGTGTGTGTGGCGGGCACGCTTTAATTACAGCGCCTCTGAGAGCTGCTCTAATTAAAGCACCTGGAGCATCATATGTATCAGCATCCCTGCACTTCAGAATAGTAGCGGGGATGCTGATACATGAGATGATTAGCCAAGTCTGCTCCGACATGCTGCATTCATGGCACACCAGAGCAGCCTTACTGCTTGTGTATAGGTGCCTTAAGTGGGGACAGGATCTGCTCTTGTACAACAACGGTATTTTGGAGGGGGTGGTGCCACCCTGAGAAGCGATTCAGAGGCCTGTTAGTAATGAGCTGCTAAAAAGAAATTAATTTAAAAGTGAAGCTTCACAGGTCTGCATAATCCAACAGGCCTATTTGATGTATAAGGTTAACATGAGACTGACACTGGTGGAACAACAGCTAGCCCCCTTGTTATGGGGGGTGGTGCTATTGGGTATATGTCAACTGATTTCAGGGGGCAACCAAAATGAAAACGGGGATGGAAGTGAGGTTACAGGTTCAAAGCAAGTGCTCCAAGGAGGGATGCACAATTAGCACAATGTGGGCCTAAACTTAACAAGGATCTCTTCAGCCTGGGAAAAAAGCTGGAAATTTCATAACAGTTGTCATGTTTTCTGCTGCTTCCCAGCATCTGCAGAGAGTTAAGACGTGAGAAGGCACTGCCAGGACCTGATGGCATGGTCAGCCAACAGGCTGTCCATCTGAGACTGTAAAGAAGGAAGGCCTGTGCCTATGGTGCTGGGCTGGACCCCAGGAGTTTTGGATTCAGTTTCTGATTCTGCCCTAGACTCTGTGTGATTCTGGCAAGTCATATGATCACTCTGTGCTTCAGACTTCCCCTTCTAAGATGCAGTAGCAGTAAGGTATCCCTGCAGCACAGGAGCACTGGAAGGAAAACTTAATTAATATAAGTGAGGTTTGGTAATAATATATCATGGTGATGAAGAGCATCGAGGTGGGTGGAATGTTTGGCCAGTAACTTGACCTTGGGGCAGGTCTGATGAGGATGATTTTTCTGTGGAAGAAGGCACAGTTGCACTTTTCACTCCTACTCATGCCATTTCAATTAGCTCAGCTGGAGAGAATCTCTTAATAGAAATTCTGTTGTTATTTTTTTTTTCCAGGATTCTTCATTAAGTGCTAGTCTATTTGCAGTAGCTGCCAGGGCAGAATTAATACCATGACACCCTCCCCTGCCACTTTCTGATATTTTACTCCCTGCCCCTGGAACTGGGAAGCACAGAGGGACAGGGAGGGAAGAGAAACAAGAAATGTTTTAATGCTTTTCCAAACCTCAAAAGCAAGCAAAACACACCACTTATTTAAAACATTTCAGCTGTCCCTACTTCAACGCAGGACAATCCTCAGAGGTCATCGGATAACTGTACGAGAAGAAAGGTTGTAAATCCTAGCTCAGCTATGACTATGTTCCAGGAAGTGTCCCTGGGTTTGCTCTGTTCATGTGGCATTTTAAAGCATCATGTCAAACCAAGTAGTGTCTGAGTGACTCAGGGTCCAGTCATAATGCCTAGCAACGTGCTACGCTAATTTGATGAGTACTTTCTTGTGTCAGCACTCTAAATGGAACTAAACATCCGTGTCCCCTGAGACCAACAGCTAAGGCATACCACGCCAGTGTGATGCTGACTGCTATGTTACTAGTAATCAGTTAATCAGTGCACATGTTCCTAATTAACGGCTTTAGTATGTAATCACCAGGGGATGAAGACAAAAATAAAAACAGTCATGAGTAGCATGAAAGAGCTCCATGGATTGCATTTGTTATGAATGCTGTCTAGAGTGGCTGAACAATATGGGGCAATGAAGACACCGGTCCACTCGTAGCTATTGGTGTAGAAGTCACTAATCTAAAAGTAAAACGCTTGCCACTCTTGATCGATCTATCTGGTGATGGGGTGATAGGAACCCCATCACCAGAGTGTGTGAACCCCTCACCATCATCCCAAATGATCTTGCACACAAAACAGCCCTGATGGCTAGCTCTTTGGAAGAGGGACTGTCCTCTTGTTGCATATCCGGAAGAGCCTCTGGGTGCTACTGGAATACAAATTACTAGGAGGGAAATGCAACCAGCCACCTTTTTGGGAAATCATAACTTGCCCAAACTCCCCAAGGAATTAAATCTCCCGAGTCCCACTGCAGAGGCAAAGCCATAAGGATGGTCTTTCACTCCTAAATGGACTCTTTAGTGGTTTGCAGCACACTGGGACCAGGTATTACTTTGTTATTTTTATTCTCCTGATAAAACATCCCAGCTCCCTCAAAGCCACTGAATTAACATCTAAGCTAAACCTTTTAGTCTCCCTTGGACATACAGCACTTGTCACTTTCTGCCTGTGAATTCTAAAGAGGGCCCGAGGTATATAAATAATGCAGCCCGCATATTGCTTCTGCAAAATTTGTTCCCAAAGAATAACTTACTCAGCTCTGTGATGATGGGGATCCTTTTATAATACAGCGCTGATTGATTCTCCAATGTTCTCACTCTGCCAACTGCCTCTGCAGAAACAGTCAATAACAACATGGGGAGAGAAGAGAGAGAGGTAAAAAGAGGGGTGGGAGGAATGGTTCAGAGACTGACAAGTGCAGTAAAGCACTTACCTGAGCCTAAAATAAAGTCACTGTCATGCAAAAAAAAAAAAAAAAATCCCAAAGCATTCCCTATATGGGGAAAGTTTCTTGCTTTCGTTTGCTTTTCCAAGGTGCATTTTATTCACTTGGAGCTTCAAAGGATTAAAAAAGAAAAGCTCTCCTGGGAGCCGCCTATTGACATCATAACTAAAATATAATTACCCTCTGTGGAGCAGCAGTGCTGGTAATAGTGTTGTTAGGCACAAAGCCCCCAATAAGCCAATTTGCACTTGGAGGGTTTTTTCTTTTCCCTTCAAGGAGACTGTAAATAACGGATGGGACATGCACAGCAAAAGTGAAGGGAAAAGCAATGGTCCTATGTTTTGGAGCTCAACACACCTGCCTGGAAGCTAGTGGTTTAAGAGAGACCCACTAAGGCTACCTGGAGAACATGATCCTTTTGCAATACACGAACTGGGTGACTTAAGGAAATGGCTCCAGTGTCCTTGTCCCCACTGTGGCAAGCTCCAGGAGGTTCCTAAAGGTTTAATGCCTGGGGGTTATGGATGAGGGTTTGAAGGGGTGATTTGGGGTGACTTCTTGGGGAAATGCATGCCTGGGAATGGGACTTGACCCACAAAGTCTCTTCCAGTCCTTTGTGTCTAAGATTTATGCAAGTGTAAGTGGCAGGAGGGTCAGGTTCCCTTTTTTTTTTTCCAGGACAGTTGTCAGTCATGGCTCTGTTTTCTGTATTTCTCTTCCCTGGTTTGGATAGATGCTGATTCTGTTTTGCTGCCTCATGTTCTATTCATCTATATAAATACCTTGCTGCTCATTGCAATAGTATCTGAGGAACTGACTACTAAAGGGACTGCTCATCACCCAAGATATTATGCAGGGTAAAGGCTGCAGAATCCACATGATAGTAAAAGCTCTTTCTTTGGCGCAAGGTCCTCTTCAGAGTCAGAAAGAGGACGGTGGGAAATGGATCACATCCGTAATGGATCCTGTGCAAAGTGGCTGAACAATGAAGGATGACAATGAAAGAGGGATTTGCTGGTAAAATGCAATGAGTCCTCTCTCTACGCAGATCCTCAGATGGGCCACTGTTGTGATCCACTGTGACAACTCTTCTGTTCCTAGGGTTGGGGCGATGGGATTGCTAAAAAAACACTTGAAATGTGGGGCGTACAAACAACAGCTCAGAAAGCTCTTCCCAGGCATATTCTGGCATCTCAGAACATCTGCCGAGGAGACTGACAGAATGCCTGAAAATGAATTATTGTCTTTATTCTGCCTTTCCCTGTACTGTAGTGGCTGATTTGAATGTCTGTCAGATCATTGCCTGGATACATTTTCCTTATGTCAATATTTTTGCTACAAAACAGTACACAGCACTGTACCTGAAATCTTACACACTGGCAGGGTGCTATTACAAAAGATTACTTAATTGTAGATTACTACTGTACATTTGAATTTCAGTAGCATATTAAGTTGTCAGACTTAATTACCGTTATATGTTTAGATTATGCCACAGATTATTTAGTTCAGTACCTAGGTTTGCCAACCTGTTTGCTCTGTGACATGACAGGGTGATAATTACAGCATTACTGGAAAACCTAAAATTTTCCATGGGAAAGACTAGAAGTCCTTGGCATTGATGCTGACCCTAGTAAATGCTCATTCTTGTGGGTGTAAGTAATGTTTACCTCTGTGTGGGTCTGTTTCTCTCAAAGCTTTCTAATTCAGTACCCCTTGGGACAGGTAATGTGTGGAAGGAGTCTGGTAGGTTTGGATGGAAACTATAGGAAATGCTCATAATGAAATCCAAAACTACAAGAAACGTGACCAATTCAGCATTCGTTATAACTTCCAAATTCAGACCATGGTTGCTGCAACATTCAGCAGAGTTTCTGGGCCATTTGGGGAAACCTAGGTCACATCAAAATAAAGATAAATGCATATGCTTTCCCAGTGCTATGAAAATGAAAAGACTAGCTTTCTCTACAGCTTCAAAAGTTTCGTAGTAGGACAAGGGATCCACAGAGCGGCTGAACATCAAGTCGGGTCACTGACTGGCCCATCTGGACTGGCAAATGCTGCACAAAATTGAACGAGCTTTAAGTATCTCTTCCTTTTCAATCACACTTATGTCTTAACAACCTTGATAAGGAGGTATTTTTAAACGTTCCCCTTATACACGAGCAGCTTTCAGGATGTTAAGCTGCAGGAAGCCTCTCAAAATCTATATTCTCTCCTATTGTCCCAGCTCAACTGCTCCTGCCAGTCAATCTTTTCCTACCCTTGCTCCCTAAAATGTATCTGCATCATACTAGGGAAAAAATCTCTCTCAGTTATAGGTCCCTGGATAGGAACCTCTAAAAGGTCTTGCATTTGAGAGAGGCTGCAATCCTAGTTTTTACAAGTAGAATAATTTGGGCTGCTTATAGCATCTCATAGAGTTGATTCAGTTTTTTTTTTATCATTGGTATTGTCTGCATGCCTCTTCCTGGACCCTATAAGCAGCTAAGCACTATCTGTACTAGGAAGAAGGAAGAAAGGGTTCAACTTGTGTAGCTGCACTAGTACAAGCCCGGACTGTCAAATGGACTGCTTCAGTGCAAGACAAGACTTTTGTTGGTGCAATTTTCTCCAACAAGATGCCATACCAGGTTTCAGCATTGCGAAGTGATTTCTATCAGGACAGAAAAAGTAAAAGCTCTTACAGGACAACAGTAGGTGCTCTGGCTCCCCGCCCTAGTAAATACGCCAATGGCTTCCCATAACACCTCCACTGCTTCTAAGCCTTCCAGAAGAGAGAAACAAATGATGGGTGATATTTGGGGTGTGTAGCTGCACAAGCAGAGATATAGCTATGCTAATACAATTTTCCCTAGGCTAGGCAAACACACAGGAAGCGGAGTGTACCTACCAAGGTCTAGCCAGGTGGGGGTTGTGGGGCCGGCCGTGACACCCCTTGGGGACCACGCAACACTTGCCTTGCTCCAGCTCTACAGTGCCTTGATGCATGTGTTTGATTGAAAGCGGGGCTGTCTAAGGGTCCTGGAGCGAGCCCCCATTCTTCTAGCCACCAGCAGGTCCCTCCTGGACCCTGCTGGTCTCAGTTCTGTCCCTCAGGCTAAGTGGGTCCTTTTGACTTGGCTCTGTGCCCCGGAGGGTACCTGCAACCTTACTGGCTATTACATGGGCTCTGTCCTCCCCAGCACCCACGGCCATGCCGCACAGAGTTACTGTATGATAAATTCCTGCTTTGGTCTTTTCGGCCTCCGCCCCTTTCCTCTGGCTGCAAGCCTCCAGGTCTGGGCTCAGAGATTTGTATCCACCTATCAGTCATTAGTATCTCTGGGCCCCTGGCCCTGATCTTGCCCTTCTCTGGGTGCTGAGCTCCCAGCCCTGGTTCCACCCTTCTTGGGCTGCCCCCCTGGTCCTTCCTGGGACACTAGGGCCCTGGCCCTCGTTCTCACCTCTCTAGGCTGAGCCCCTGCCCCCAGTCCCATCCTTCTCAAGCTGGACCTCTTGGACTGGTCTGGCTTTCACCCTTGCTAGGCTTCAGCCACTTTCTCCTAGCTTCAGTCCTCTGGCTAAGCCTGTTCTGTGCCTTGATCCCCTCGCAGGGCTCAAGACACTCTCATGCCCCAGGCACTATCGGGACCTCTGCCTTCCCCCAGTAGTCCCAAACCCAAACCAAACTAAAACCAAGTTAAAACTAAAAGCAAAAACTTAAGCACTCTGGCTATAACTAAACCTCTAGCCTCCTGGGTATATACCAAAACTCCTACCCAGCCATGAACCTGCCGCTAGACCTCAGCCCCTTTGCTTGCTGTCTTCAAGCACAGCATGCTCACAGTCCCTCTCTCAGCAACAGGCATCCCTCTTTAACCTCTGAAACCAGACCGACTGCCCTGGCCGTGGCCATGGCCCTGATCTCCCCAGGCCCTGCCCCTTTCCAGTAGGGTGACTCCACAGGGCTGACCAGCGGTGCCCTGTAATTAGGCTTACCAACTGGTCTCTATAGCAGCCTACCTGTAGCAGTGCCTTTTCTCCCCTGCAGGACTCCAGCCTACAGTCCTACTGCAGAGCAGCTAGCACTACCATAGGCTTCCTACTGCTCACGTGGGCATTGTCCTATTGTCAGCACCCTATTTCCCCGGGCCAGCTGTCCTGCAGTTTCTCCCTTGCAGTCTTCCCCCACCTGGGTCTCTCCCTGGGCTCTTTCTCCCATAAGACCTGGTCTTGCACAGGTCTCGTGTCTATTATATTGCTTCTACCTACTTCATGTCGGATCCCTTTCTCTTTTGTATCTGGACCCGCTGTTCACCTCAGCAGGTCCCTTAGCTGCTGGCAGGTATCAGTTTTCACCTGGAAGTAGTCCCATCCGCTGGAATCACCCGAGACAAGCTTAGCGGGGGGGCGCATAACATAACTTCAGTGCAGGCAGAGACTTGAACTCTTCCAGTGCTGTAGTTCATGCTCCCACTGGGAGAGTGCCAGCAGAGAAAGACCAATGAATCAAAACCTGTACTTAATGTCAGATTTTCAAAAGTTAAGTAAGCAAATGGATGCCTAACGGGCTTGTACACATTCCTAAGCAGCTTGGCTACCAAACTCCCATTGAAATGAATGAGGATTAGGCATCTAACTTGCTTTGCATGTTGTGAAAATACCATTAGGTGCTCAGTCTTTAGGTGCCTAGAAACCTTTGAAAATCTGGTCCTTAGGTAGTCCTGTAGACAGCACTAAGGTATTCATAGGAACAGGAGTTTCTCACTGAGGACAGCTGGCCATTTTGGTTTCTTTGCATATGGTTACAGAAAAAAAAAATAAATCAAAAGAAGAAAAAGTTACCAACACCTTTCAACAGTGTTGCCTGCCTTTAGCCACAGAAGCCTTTTATGAACCATGACTTTTTTTTAGATGGACTTCTGTAAAATAATCAAGAGGCCTCTAGTGGTCAAAGCAGCATGGAGCCTAGTTCCCCTTTTATCACCTTCATCCATAACCTGGGGGCTAACCATGTCACTTCTCCATTCCCTAACACTATCTGCAAAAGAGCATAATAGTCATTTCCTACCTCCCAGGGGCACCTGGCTGTAAAATCCCTTGAGAGCTTCAGAGGATAGTTTCCACAAGTGAGTAAATATGGCCTTCATCTTGCAACTCAATCCTTAGGGACCACCTGCTACGTGAAATCTTGGCCCTATGCATCTAAATAATTACAGCAGCAAGGAAGAAAATTGGCTGGGTATTTTAACAATACATCTAATGATCCTAGAAAGGAAAGATAGCTAATTTTTTACACAGAGGGTGAATCACTAACAGATTTAATGGCTGGCTTGGGGAGAAAAAGAAGCTAGTGTCTTAGCCTTATTTTGTAAATGCATCTTCATTTATTGATGATAATAACCTGTAAGTGAATACTGCATTTCTGTCTCCAGAAAACACTGTAAATCTGAGGAATGGCCTTAATTGAGTAGCCAAAGATTTATTATATTGGGATTGTAGTCACTTTACGGATCCAGAACTCAGTAAAAATAGAGTTAGACAATAGGTGCCTTGTAAATATCTAAGAGTGAGATATGTAAAATAGATACAAATTGGGTTTTGGTTTGGGAGTACAACAGTCAGGCAGAAAGTCAATGCCCTTCGAGTACACGGTGATGGAATCTCTCTCCTCTTATTTAAATCACTTCTAGGAATAACCAATCAAAGTAACAGGCAATAACAACAAGAATAGCTTACATTTCCATAGTACCTATCACTGAAAGATCTGGAAGCAAAAGGCAGTCTTTAACCGATTTGGCTTCATAATCAGCCTGAGAGATAATGGTTATTACGAAGTTATACGCTGGGAGACAGAATTAGGTCTAAGCCTCTTTGTACCTTTGGGCAGTAACCATGGCCATTCTATGACGCCCCAGCTCAATCCCTTTGCCTCTTCCCCAGATGCAGGGACCAAACCCCAGAGCCCTGCTTCTCCAGGCCTGGCTCTTAACTGCCGGACCACCCTTTTCTTCCCCCTTCCCTTAAGCCTGAAATAAATCCAATGAGTCATGGCTTCTAATCAGCCCTACTTCAACCAGTAGACAAGCTTCTTCCAGAGCAGAAACAGAACTGAGATCGTTGTCCTTCACTTCTCTGCTCTAGTAACTACACTGCACCACTTCTTTTTAATATTGGCGGTTGGGGCAGCAATACATTTCTTCTTGATGTTCTTCACAGTGGGCTTGTTGCTCTCATTCTGCGACAGAGCCTTAACTGACCATTTCCACCACCTGCGAATAAAATTTTACCTGTCCCTCTTGGTCAGTTTCTTGGGTGACGTGCATGTTGCCGCATGCCCCATTTCTGACTCGTTATCTCATCATTTGTCCATCTCTCATGGAAATTCATGGAAAAAACGTGTGTTTAAGAAAGGACAGACCAAAACCGGGAAAAAGAAAATCTGGTCCATTCCTAGTTCTGCCCCTGACATGCTGCGCAACCACTGGCAAGTCACTTGGCCTCTCTAGGTACGTCTACAAGATGCAACGCCGGAGCATGCGCTAACTCTGAATAGCCCGGTATGTCCACACAGAAGAGTGCAGTGCCATGCAGAGATAAGGCCCTGGAACAAGTATAAATACACTGGCATGGCTTTTTGGGCTAATTAGCTCCTGGGAAGCAGAGCTACAAAGCCTTGACAGAGTACTGTACCCATATATCTGTTCTGCTTCTAGTTCAAGATAAAGTTGTGCCTCAGTTTACCCAGCTGCAAGATGCTGATAAAATCCACATGGCAGGGAGAACCCATTAATATTTCTAAAGGGTTCTGAGATTGATCTGGTGAAAGGAACTAGAGATAACAGGTCAGACTATCTTGAGTCTGCCCTGCTGGAGTAGGATGGGAGAGGACTGGTCACTTCCTTTTCCATTTCCTCTGCTGATGCTGCCCATATCACAAATCTGAGTGACACCTGCAAAAACGTGAAGGTGATCCAAGTACTGATGGATAGAAAAGAATAACCCGTCTCTTGCAGATCTGTGTTTGAGTCCATCTGTCTCCATACATATGTATAAAAATCTATGTACAGCATTTATATTTGTCATTACAGATGAAAATATACAGATAATATACACATACATTATCTATATCCATCTCCACTGACCCAAGATCAATATGTAGATCTACATCTATATATCTTTATATACATGTATAATAGACAAATCAATGACAGCATTCTACTATTTCCATTCCATGAACCCCTTCCTTCAATATTCCTGACTATTCACTTCTTTCCCCTTCTGTAATCTGATATTGATATTATTTTGTCATATTATTTTTAAAAATCTTGTCTCTGCCTTACTCTAATCTTTTCTTTGGAATAGCCATTGTTTTAAAAGCCTTGTGAATGATAATAAAGCATGGGGAAAACACTTGAGAGAGCCATCTATTTTTCAGCCCATGCTCAGTTAATTAATACTTTTCCATTCCCGAGAGGAGGACAAATCTTGGCTCCTTTGCCAAATTAAGGGACCAAGAGATGCAATAAATATTCTGCAGGACCGGAGTTGTTTTGCTTCCGTGGCAATTCTGTGCTACAACGTCTACATGTCTGGAAGCAGCAGTGCCCACCCTCCCAATCCCTATGGGCAAACATAAACATTTATTTTTTGTGTTGAAGGTTAGAGAGGGTGCAATACAGCTGCCACTGAATGCTACCCTTTAGCTCATAAAACTGGTGTTAGTGAAGCTTCTTCAGTAGTAATAACGAAAGCCCCCACTGCCCCATCCCACAGTGGCAGAAGCCCCAAGTGTTGCACAGCATTTACAAGAGCTACTGGTATATTTACTTTTGGGAGGGACAGAGCAAGGATCAGAATAGTGATGAATGATGGGGCAATGTCCAGAGGTCAGAAAAGGGTGGGAAGAGAAAGCAAGTTAGAGGGAGAGAGGGCACCGCCTAGTCTGCATGATATTTTGCAAATGGCCTCAGCTGTGTGTCTCTTTAGTGTACTCCAGTCACTTTAGGACTCCTAGATCCACCGTGTCCTATCTCATCGGTTAGATGAATGCCAGCCTGAACTACAATCATCATGGATAGGGCAGGGGAATATTTTAGCCATTCATTCAAAACCTAAGGCTATTTCTGGTTTGTTCTCTACAAAGTTTTAGCCAGAAATAAACTAAATTTTTCCTCTCCCAATGCTGCTGCTACAGAGAGGAAACTGAGGTCATTTTAATTTCCCATGCTTTATCACATCAAGAGACTCATCTACATAACTAAGAAGCTTTTACCTTCAGAGACTGTGCTGTACTTAAACTGCATGGCTCGGATGTTAAGTGTGGCCAGGATGCTTTCTGTGTCCACCAGGATTGGACTAGTGGATGACTTGGAGTTATAGGACAGGATAGCACACATGGCGCAGTGTCTTATGTTAACAGCCTTCAGGTCAGCACAGGAAAGAGCACTACCCTGGAAAAGAGTACAGGTTAGTTTAGTAGGGGTAGGAGAGTCCAAGCAGAGTGAATGACACAGGGCTCTCAAGGTTGGCTTCAGAGGAACAAACATTTTGGAAACATCTCCAAAGTTTCTTTAATCAATTTAAAGTTGAGAAGCAGAGAAGAGGGGAAAAAACCCCAAGCTTTGAACTTCTCTTGCAACATTTATGGTGAGAGAGCAGTCTCTTGACACAACTGCAGGAAACGAATGCATGCAGATGTGCCTCTGAATGAAACCAAACTTTGGAGAAATTAATCTGGGGGCTCAGAATCAAGATCAAAGCAAAGAACCAATTCAGTCTCTGCCGGATGAATGGATTCAACCATCCCTGCTCAGAATACAGGAGTTGCAGAAGGGATCTCCCCTGAAGGAAACAAATGCCCATCCACATATTGACATTCCACAGTGCTGTTCATTGTTAAACGCCTTCAAGTTTAAAAACAGCATGTGTAAAAGGAGTGAAAGAGGGAAATGATTGAAGAGAAAAATTCCTACCTGGAACAACCACAGCTTTGGGAAATTCTGGATAAATCCCCATTCTCTTTTCAGGTACTCCAGAGACCCGACAAAGACGATGTCTCTCAGCTCCTCGTAAGTGAAGTTGCTAGCTCGTAAAGGCATCACAAAGTCCCGCAAACCAATGAGTGTTGTGCTGGCATCCCCAAAGACACATACCACAATGTGATCATGCAGGTCTGAGGTGGCTTCCTTCTTTGGATTCTAAATTAAAGCAGAACAGGTTGGGTGTTTTTTTTTTTAACGTTAGGAAGTGGAACATTTCCCTAATGTGTAATGTCCGCGGGCTAGAATTAGACTGTCTATTAAATGAAGCCATTGGAATCCAAACTCATTCCATTTAAGTGCCACCATCTCAAGCACTACCTGGCACAGTAGTGGTTCAACTCCCAGAAGCATTTTCCAAACTCTTCAATCATCTGACACGTACAAAGCAACCACCAGGGAGTGTTGTGTATATGAGTCTGTGAGGTGAGCCCTTGTAACAAGGTTGAGGAGACGTGCATGGACATAAGAAAGACAAGGACACATTTCTTTAAGGACTGACAGTTCACATTAGTGTTGTGGTCACAAACCCTTTCCTCTATCGCATGTTGCCCTCACCACATATGTAAGATGCGAGTTCAACTCTGTGTACGTGCAGCAAATGTTATGAAGCTTGCAACTTCCGTTCAGCAAACAGGAAGTGATTGCTTTCAACAAGTGAGTGTTTCCCACGTGCAGAGCTGAATCTGTTCCTCTTTGGGGCCTAGACCGAACCTCCGGATTTTAAAGAGAGAGAGAGATGGTGGATTTAAAACTCTGATCATCTTGTTCTAATGCACAGTGAAGTGTTGGCAACATAGGGCATAACCCAGCTGAACACCTCTGATTTCTCCAGAAGAGGGCAATGAGGCACTCACATGCTAATCAATTTGCTATTTGCATTAGTTCAATAGTACACTTTTTCTTGTTTTCAGCATTGGGGCCTGCCGAGCTGGGCAAGGCACAAATGCACAAGGAAACAGTTAGTCATTGACCCAGGAAGTATGCTGCCTAATTTAAATTGCAAGCAGCAGAGGAAAGGCAGAGCATGTGGCGGGCCAGCAGGGGGTGCTCCTGCGCTGAGCCACCCACCTTCCAGGCTCCGAGTGCCTCCCCCTGCGGGTGCCTCACGTCTACCTGACCTCCTTCCTGAAGCACACCTGCTAGCCTGGGGGTAACGCCGCCACCACCCAGCGTCTGGAGTGATCCCGGCTCTGAGGCCCCTGGGAAACACAGGCCTAGTAGCCCTTGAGGGTACTCAAGCCACTTCAAGAACTTGGGATGCTTCTCTCAGCCTGAAGCACAAATAGTGGTCTCCCTTAGTCAGCCAAACCAAGGGGACCCCAAGGCATTATCTAGATCCACTCCCAACGAGTCTCCCATGCTAAGTACAAAGAAGAACTTTATTGCTTACAAGAAGTAAATTTGGAATAGGGTACAGGGTACAGCAATATCAAAGAAATCCCATGGAGCAAACAGTGTGGCTGGGTAGGCTTTGATCACGTATCTGAGTTACTGCAAGCTATAGATCTAGTTAGATCTCAGGTACCTTACTCACGAGTGCCATCCAGAGGCAGGTGGAGGTTCCCTCTGGAGGCAAGCAGTTCATTGATCATGAGTTTCAAGAGAGCAAGTTTCAGATGGTCCAGCTTCTCTCTCCGAGTTCTTTTATCATGGCTACTGCCTCTCTTCCTGGGCAGTCCTTAACTTCTGTAGACCTTATGACTTCATTTACCTGGTCCAATGGAGACCAGCACCTGTTGGCTGCCAGCCAACCTCTTTGAAAGGCAGCACTGGTTGCCGGGTAGACTGGCAGGGTCTCTAGCCCCCTCCCAGTCAGGGTGGCATTGCTTAGAACAATAGGGAACGCAAGCCCCTCACCCAGATATGTGATGCCAGGCACGTAGGCAGAGGGAGCAGGTTTCCCTCCTCCCTCAGGAACATATCCAACTCAGGTTACATAAAGGGATGGGATGTCTGCCCTCGGCAGGGACCATGTTAACCAGATTGTCACAGAGTAGAGTTTTTGGGGAGAGACAGAGGTGGCATTCTGCCCCACAGCAGTCAAGCTATGGAATTTTTCTTCTTTTCTGACCCAAGGCAGATGCTGATTTTGCATTTCTGGGCGTCTGATGTCATGCTTCCTTGTGACATGCAGGACAATTACCTGCTTCATCCCACCTGCGTGGCAAGATGCTCTGTAATAAAATGTTACTTAAGGAGAGTTACAGGACCGATATGTGGCTTTGGTTTACATGAGCCAATCAGTGAAAAGTACAAGGTGTGCGTACACATTAGCCAATCAAGAACTGTCAAATTGGTAAGTCCTTGCAATATTCTTTCCCCAACGGGTTTTCTTCCAAGAGAAACAAAAGCCTGTCAGGGAAACTATCCTGATGAGAGATTAGAATCATAACGAAATTAAATGATCCTCTCTAACTAATTAGATTAGTTTAAATTGAATAATGAAACCTTTAGCTGTATTTAATGTAACAGGCCTTAAGTCCAGCAAATAGTCTGCTGGATGGAACTAAACAATTAAAAACACAATCTATTTTATAGTGTTTTTATTGGAACAATTGGAAAAACGATTACTTCTAGACCCTGCAGATGGCAACATGGAATTTGCTAGATTGCTAATAATAAGTGAGCAGCAGGGAAAAGGCGAACCATTTTGGAGAAACTAAGTGTTGACTTGAATCTTAGTCCCAAAATAGAGCTAAGACCTGGAACATTTGGCATTTTTCATTTTTTCTTTCTTTTTGTAACACTACGTCCTTGACCAAGACAGGAAGCTGGAATACCAGGAAGGAAGCTATTCTTACAATGGCAGTCCACCTCTGTGTAGAGCACCAAGAAAGGACCTAGATACTTCTTAACTTTGGCTTGAGCCCTCACAACAGTAGAGCATAGATCTTCTGCTAACCCTCTGCATAGAGATGAATTTCACCCAAAGTCTAGAAGCTGTTTTTGAATCTGAATGCAGCAGGACACAGATTATATGCATGTCAGCTAGAAGAGCAAAACCCTGTGGATCATATCAAATACAGCAGAATTTTCAATGGATGAGACAGGTACCATAGCATCTCTCTGGGTAGAAATTCCACGTTTGAAAAGAGAAAAAGTATGTCTAGAGACATATTACTGACCCCCAGACCAGGATGGTAGCAGTGAGCTAGCAATGCTAATGGAGTTGAGAGAGGCTATGAAAGCAAGAAAACACAGAAATAATGGGCAACTTCAATTAATATGCAACTAGACTGAGTCAATCTAATATCAGGCCAGGATGCAGAGACCAAATTTCTTGGTGTTATAAAAGACTGCTTTCTGGAGCAATTAGTCCTAGACCTACAAAAGGAAAGGGCATGCTTGACCTAGTCCTAAGTAGCACACATAATGTGGTGCAAAGGGTAAGCCTTACTGAACCGCTCTGCAATAGTGAACACAATGCAGTTGGGGTTTGACATCCATGTAGGAGACAAGATAAGAAGAAAATTTAACACGACAGCCTTTAAATTTAATAAGGGAGACCACATCAAAATGAGGAAGCTAGTTAGACAGAAGTTAAATGGGCACCCTAAGAAGGTAAAGACATGGCAAGCAGCATGGGAATTGCTTAAGAACACCGTATTGGAGGCAGAGAACAAATGCACACCGCAAATCAAAACCAAACAACAACAAAAATAGAAAGTGGATGGAAAGACAGCCAACATGGTTTAATGGTAGAGTTGCAGAAGCAATAAACAGAAAAAGGCCTCTTTCAAAAAATAAAAAATAAATCTTAATCAGGAAAATAAAGAGCAGAAACTCTGGCAAATCAAATGTAAAATCCTAAACTAAGAATAAATTTAAAGGAGAAACTTGCTAGAGACATAAAAGGTAAAAATAAACAATTCTTTAAATACATTAGAAGCTGAAGACCCGTCAGAGAGTGGGTTGAGCTTTTGGATGATCAGGGTGTAAAAGGGGCACTAAAGGATGACAGGGCCATTGCCGAGAAACTAAAGGCATCCATCTTCACTGTGGAAAAAGTTACGGAGATTCCAATTTGGGTTGATCCAGCTGACATAATATACCTGGACTTTCAACAAGTCTATGACAAGGTGCCCCATCAGAGGCTGTTACTGAAGAATTAGGGGTCACAAAACAAAACCAGTAAGTTTAAAACTAACAAAAGGACGTTCTTTTTCACCCAGCATGTAACTGAAGTGTGGAATTCATTGCCACAAGATGTTGTAGAAGCTAACAGTTTAATCAGATTCATAAAGGAATTAGCCAAATTCTTGGAGGAAAGGTACTTCATAAGTTATTGAGCATGGGAATTAGAGGTAAAGGCTGAATCAGAATTTCCTAGACCTTAAATGCTGGAAGCTGCAAGTGGGAGAGGAACGGTAGAAAAAGCCCTGGTCATACCCTGTTCACTCTCCCTTTCAGCATCCACTCTCTGCCACTGTTTGGCATAGGATATTGGGCAAGATGTACCTATGGTCTGACCCAGAAAATGGCAGTTCTTATAGTTCAGCAGGTGGTAGGGATGGACCATAGAGCAATTCAGGCTCCAGAGTCTTCCCTCGTTTTCCAGAAAGAAGTAGTCCAGTTAGAGGAGCCCAGAGATGATACACTTCTGCAACAGATTCACACCTCCAATAATGAATATAATCTTCTCCCCTCCCCCCCAAGGATAACAAGAGGTATTAAATTAGGGACAACATTTTCAAAAGCACTTCATTTAGAAATCTAAGCTCTAGTTTCAAACCCAGCTCTGGGTCAGACCTAAAGGCACAAACCAACACCAAATACCCATGTATTTCTCAGTACTGGTCTACATGCATCTAAATCCATTAACAATCTGGTCTTACACTTTTAATTCCAGGATTTGGGGTTCTAAATCACTTTGGAAGATGCAATTTAGCCTCTTAAGACATTTAAAGCATTACCAGCACAGGGTGTTGTTGTAAAATAAATTGGGATACGAATTTCAAGTGCAGAAACGACTGTACCCAAATTCTTGGTGAGGACACCACTGTTACTCTATGTTCATGCTCTGTACAGTTTGGCTTAATCTGCTTCCAAAGTGGATTAGGTTGGATTATGCAAAAGGCCTCAATACAGATACTGAGTAGGTAAATAGGGAGTTAGTGCACAGTTGCTGTTCCAACCTATTCCCTTGTGCAGGCAAGCCCTTAAATGCTTCCAAAATGCTACCCTGAGCTGAGCTTCCAGCTTCTCAGGATATTTGCCCATTTCTAATGAGGAAGCTATCTGCAGGTTGCTGGGCGATACGGTCCTCTTGCTTGTTCAGAAGGAAGAAGCTGCATTTCAAGCCGCATGAAACCCAACCTGCTGCACGTCTCCCAGCTGGTAGAACAGCGTGAAACCTTCTGTACTTTTGATGAGACCTTTGATCACCTCAGTGCAAGATTTGGTTGCCTCCTCTCAACTCTATGGCAGCTCAGAGTACACCCTGACATTCTGGGTAGGATTTTGTCCCTTTAAAACTGATAACTGAATAAACACTTCTACATAAATAATTTATTTATTATGACTAAATAAAGTACAAAACTTCTAAGTATTCCCCAACCGGATAAAATCCGAGTGCAGGGAACCTTAAACTCTGTGGCCGATGTGTTTTAAAAACAAAATACATGAAAAAAAAATCAGTCTCTCTTTTCCTATCTGCCAGGTTTCTCAAGTGTGATAGGTGTCCTGATCATTCTGGGTGCATAGGACAGGCTTTACTGCAGAGATAGTCTTGTTAGATGCCTCTTAGAGATATGGTATGGGCAGCCCCTTCTCCGTGTGCTCCCAGAGTGCCACTAAGAGCTCAAGAGGGTAAGACGGTGGTGAAGCCAACAATCAGTTGCCATAGCTGCCCTTGTTAACCATGAACAAGTCATTTAATCTTTCTGAGCATCGCATCACCATCTCCAAGACAGGTGAAAGGATACTCTCTGTGCCCAACTTCTCTATCTTGATTACAACCTTTTCAATGTAGGGACCATCTCTTACCCCATCTAGGTCCAGTACCTAGCCTGATGGGTCTTGGCTGGGGCCTTCTGATGCTGTGGTCATACAAATAGCAGTGAAGGTGGTGCAACCTGTACATGTCCCCGGTTCTGGGATTGCTTTGAAACCAGAGGTACATCTATATGGCCTTAAGAGAACAAGCATGACAAGCACACAGTGCAGGTGTGAATGTTTCCTTAGTACTCAGCGCACAATGGTTTCCAGTTCCTGAAGACAGGCAAAGCCCTTAGATTTTTACAATACAGTATCTGAAAACAGTAATATACAGCAAAGCTAATTACGTTACACTTACCAGGATGGCTTTTTCCAATGACACAGCACGGCACCAATGGAACATTCCTGTTGAATCAAGCATGGCATCACTGTTCTTGTCCCCCATGACATCTGAAGCACTATAGAGACAGAGCAATCGATTGGCTAGGTCACGTCTGCACAGCAATGGCAGCAACAATACATGCAGCTTGAAATAATCTTTGCACTGGTTTGCAGGAAACCCTCTTTGTCCGAGTCATAGCTGTCATGTCCCACAGTGGCACACAAGATCAGACAGAGTACCTGGCATGTTGTATGGGATGCATCTATACTTACCTGCCTCTAAGCAGGAGACAGCAGCTCCCAATGGCCAGATGCCAGAGCATGTACACATGCATACACTTCTGGAGACTCTGTGTGGCTCCACTGCAGCAGCTAGGCATACAGAGCACAAAGTGAAGCCTGTGGAAAGGACCACAGCTGCCACCAGTTTACAAGGGCCTTCTGCTGGCTGGGTTGTTCATCACCAAGGAGCTTTGAAGTTAGAAGCACTCACAGTTTTGCCCAGACTTGAATTCTGCTAGCAAAACTTTGTAGTGCAGGCTGAGCCATGCCATAGTCTTACTTTGTCCCTGCTACCAGGTGGCTGCAGTGAGGATGTGGTAATACAGAGAACATAAATGGTGCTGTTAATACTGAACAGAACCACAGAAATACAAGAAAAACAGTATTCTGCAAATTATTTCTTCAATTTCTTAGGGTGTTTCACTTGGATGGTGTTTATTTGGCGCTGACTTCCCATGACTATTTTAACCAATGGGCTCCTCAGTAGGGATGTTCTTCAACAGAGAAACCCTGGTTTAGCCTAAAAACAACTGAAAAAAAACCCAACCATTGAATCTATAGGCTTTGGATTCGGTCTGTGTTGGAGAATATTCACAAAAACAAATTCTGAATCTGTGTTCCTACTTCTCAGGGTTAAACTCATTCAGACACAGACCAGAAACCTGACCATATGACGGATGCTACCTCTCCATGCTTGAAGAGAATTAATAACAAAGCCTAAAGCTGTCCACCCTAGAACAGGTTGCCTTGTTTTTTTAAATGAGCAAGTTTCCAGGTTTTATAAATGCTCACCTATCACAAGACCAACACAGACTATCAGAGCTGCAATGGGTCTATTAATGCTACTAAGCAAAACTGTAATGACTACTGTTCCCTAAGTAGGTCTTTAGCCTTCTCTGTGATGCACCCCAGACATCAAAACACGTGCTGGGCTTACTTCTAACCAGAAATCAGGGAGCTGGCTTCCTTGCAAAACAGCAGTGCCTCTTACCCTGCCCTCCCATCACTAGTCCAAGGTTAGGGAACACAGGACTTGACAGACTGGGTCAGATAACCCATGAAATCTGACTGCCATGGCAGCTGTCTCTTACAGACTGGCTTAAACATTGAGGCACAACATTTTATGTCCCTACCAAAATTTGTTAATCACAGTTTCCTGTGATTTCAGACACTCTTGCTAGCCCTTTCCCACTCCTTTGCAGAATCCTGCGGTTTTGGTCTCCATCGTATCCAGCAGCTGTGAGTTCTGCAGACTAATTGCATTTTGCACGAGAAAGAATTCCCTTTAACCAATGGAAAATAGTCCACCCTTCAGTGTAATTGGGTTTCTCTTTGTCTCTGTGTAGTAAGACACTAAACTGCCTCTCTAGACTGCAGTGTCCGCAGTAATTGATATATAGAGAGGGATAAATGAACCTGTGCCCTTTTAAATCTCTCCCATTTATCCAGGCAGCCTGATGCCAAATGTAGATGGGTTGTGTCCATTAACTATGCGACTCCTCCCCAGCACTCAAGGCCTCCTCCTTCCTGCCCAGATAATGAATCTCAGCCAGTGATTAAATGGTATGTTGGCAAGTTGGAGATGATCATCTCAGAAGCTCTTTTAACTTGACTCAGCTCTACAAATCAATCAGTGTATACTTCCCTATCATCATAAAACTACCATCTGTCATGAATGACATCTCTCTTCATTCTAATATTATAGGAAATATATATGCCTTACAGGAAACACCTGCGAGTCCTAAACTGAAAAAAAGGACTGTGAGAAATTCACTTCATCATAAAAGCATCCACCTGATGTCCTTGCCAAGGCAAAGCAGGGTCTGATTTAGCTCACTGCTCTTTAACTGAGGTTTTGTTCTGCAATACGTTCTGAAAATGACATGATCCTTACAGAAATCCCCATTCCTTGGGAAAGTAATAGATCACTTCTCACTGAAAATTTGGGTGCTTGGAAGTAGGCAATGGTACATTTGTGGTGCATAGACATCAACCTATCAAACCAGTCCTTGGCCACACTTTACAGAGATCAGCAGGCACAACTTAGGCCAAGATCGTCAAAAGAATGGCCACCCTGGATGCCGAGCTGTTTTGAAAAATCAGGCATTAAATGCCTGAAAAGGAACTGCTGGGTACTGAGCACTTCAGAAAAGTTAATTTTGGAAAGGGAACTGTTTGCAAGCCCATCTCCAATTACAGCTGAAAGTCTGAAAATTTGGCTTCATAGAAGCAAGCGTGTAACTCACCCGGTGCAAAGGAGGAAGAAGGGCCCTTTGTGCCCAAAAGCCTAATAGCTTTCCCAATTATACAGTTAGTCCAATAAAGATACCCAAGCGCCACCCCCCCAAACACCCTTGCTTCTCCCACTGGTAGTGTCTCTTTTCTTTCCAACTAACAAAGAATATGAGTCAATTATAGCTGCCACTACAAGCCTTCACTGTAGAGATGCTCATGAGTTTACCTGTAAATGGTCCCTGTTTAAACTAGTCTGTTGACCAAGATGACAGCAATCACAGGTATACTAGAGTTGAAATGACAGATAACTATGCCATGATAGTGAAATTAATTTTCTTTTGGCATAAGCTCACAGTCATAATGTAACATAAACCCATCAGTCCTGTCTTATTGAATTGTGGGTAGGTATCATAGCTCTGAGCTATGCTAGAAGACAGTTAGACAGATCCATAAGGTTTCAAACTTTGTATGCGGACTAGGAGGAGTGATTAACAGTTGTCTATAGCATTACAAGACAGGAGCAGAAGCCCTTTTATCATATCTTCAGCTGCCAACAACTTCCTGCTGATAAACTATCTTTAAATCCTTCACAATGTCTTTGCAAAGCTCTGAAATCTCTTTTGAATCCCCAGTCTGCAGCATTCTGACCTGGGATCTTTCAGTCCTCACAGCACAAGAATGCACTTAAAAGTGAGTTTTAGCATCAGGGGTTGAGCATGTGCCACTGAGATCAGTGCTCGTTTGTTTTCCTTCCACTTCTGCAAGCCAAGAGCACTAGCGAGTCCTCGGGACACGACACTCCCTCCCATCTCCCAGAATGACAACTGGAACAGATAAAGGAGAGTGGACAGAAAACAGCCTCTTTTAACTAGTGGTGACTGGAGATATTGCACCTTTACACCCAAATAATCAACATACATCAGACCTCTGAGCTGCCACTGCAGAAGACTTCCGAAACAAGAAAGAAATTAGGCACCTGAAAGAAGTAGCCAGGTTGATTCAACAGCTGGAGCTTAAAAAGGCCACAGCCTACTGGCACAATTGACCCTGATGTCATTGCATTGTTTGCTGCATTGTGTCCTTGTGAATGATTTAATGCATGTCTTGTGGGTTGTTCAGCAGACAGACCATTTGGGATTCCTCTTACTGTTTTCTGGATCACTCCCAGCTCTGCACATATGTTAAACATACCCTTCGGGGAGGACTGGAGTTTCACGCACAAAACAAAAATCTCCTGTACTCGAGAAGGTTCCTACAAAGTCTTTCCCCGCTGTGTGAGAATATTGCGCTTGCCTGTGCTTTACCTGTTCATCAAGGATTCATTTATATCATTTAAATTTCAATGCATTAAAAGTGCTTTCCCTACCTCACATGCAACTGTGAGGCTTAATTAATTAATGTATGTAGAGGTGCTGGGCATAATTACAAAGTATCATTATTTAGAGTAGTCCATCAAATAATTAACAAACACATCACACAACCAGTAAGACCAAGCCTAACGATACGCATTTAAAAATATTTTTAATTACATATACTGAACTGAATCAGCCCTTTAGCTACATACATGCAACCCCAGTGAAGTCAACAGGATTATGTTGGAATCACTAAGGTTTTAACAGTCAATAATAATAGTAATAATGAATGTTTATTACAGTATTACCTGAAGTCCCCAGTTATGAACAAAGCCCTGGAGTTTCAAGAGCTGGATGAGCTAACCACCTGAACCGCCAAAGGAGAAAAATGTGACAGGTTTTGCCCAAAGTCGCACAGTACACTGATGCAAGGGTCAGGGTTAGACTCCAATCTCTAGTCTCCCAGTCTGAGCTGCTTTACAACTACAGCACCTTTAGTTAGCACCAATAGCATGCGGCTATAGAAATAAGTACAAGGATCTACTGCAACAATGAGGACCTGAAAGCTGCCCATGCAGTGTGTCACAAAGACCTAGTACTTCAGTAGATAAAATCATGAGAGATGGCAACACTATGGACAACCAATGCTGCATTGCTTGAGAGGTGGGCTAGATGGTCTAATGAGTACTTTAAGCCGCTTTAGCATGATGTAGCTGTTTGACCTGAAAACAAAGACATCTCCTTTTCCAGCCACCTGTCATCACAGTCCTTCTCCCCATTCACCCTCTATTCTAATAGCTTTCCTTAGGAAAGTTGCTAACTTACCCAGGTAAGAACACATCGTGCATCACACACGGTTACAAACCAGTTGCAGCAAGTCTAGCACTTCTGAGATTTAATGATAGTAGGATTATCACAAGAAAACTGGGCATCCTGTTGCTTACCGAATGTGTGTTTTTCGATCCAAAGTACAGAAAACTGTAGTTTATTAATAATGACATCCATTGTAAGATCTCTGAAGATGTTCTCAAAGGTTATGATTGGGCTAACCACAATGCAGCTTCTCCTGCCACACACAATACATGAATTTAGTGTGTGTGTGTGTGTGCACGCGCACGCACACGTATGTAATATGTTAGAACCACTTTTACCTTCAGTGATCCCAACTCTTGGCTCCCAATTCCTAGTCACGACATAATACCAATGGC